AGGGAAAGATTGTAGGGATGTTCTTACCCTTTCCTACACATACATTTTATTTTGCAATTTATTCCTGAATGAAAAGTAATTATTCAAAGAATAAATAACAAGATGTAAAGTCCAGAAGGTATTTTTGTGTCAACTAAACCTAGCAATGTAGAAGTAAACATAATCATAGCACCCTTCCTTAAAGGCTATTCTTATAAATATCTTGAAAAAAGAGTCTGGTCTTTTGGCCAGAAAAAGTGTGGAGTAGCTTAAAAGTAATAATATGACATTCAACAAGGAAAATGTCATTGTAGAGATTAAATCTAGATATATTTTACCAGTGGGATTAAATGCCAAACCTGATCCTGTGGATCAGGGAAGGCTGCTGGAAAAATCGTTGTAGAAAGTTGATTAAGGTCTGGCAGCTGCTAAACTGAGTACAACCTGGGTGGCCACAGGTGTCAGCACAAACTCTGGAGTAAACAGAGAACGTAAACCAAAACCCCTACTGACAATGTAAGGAGAAAAAATGCCGACCACCTAATATTAAAATGTCACCAGAGTACCGATTTGTTTCTATGAAAGTAGATGTGTTTGGTTTATAGTTTGGTGGGGTTTTTTTGTTGATTTTGTGTGTGGGTTTTTTTTTTTTTTCCTGAAGAAGAAATATAACACACTAAGAAAACATAAATGAGGAACTCCTTGAAGTTCTTGATTAAATGAGTTTCCAGACCATATCATCTTTGAGGAAATACATGCATACTTCAGGCCTTCACAGTGCAGTAAACTTCAGCTGTTTCCTAGGGCTTCATTCAGTGCCTGACATAATATTACATAGTTTGAGCTTAAACATGTAGAGAAATTATTGTATTTTACTGCAATATAATTGTTAATGTTTGGAAATATGATCATTGATAGGTACCCAGAGTTATTGTCATGTCAAATTAATGTTTTCATTACAGTTTTATTACAGTTTGTTTCAGTTAAATACATGGCAGTGTGGAAAATAGAGTAGAAGCCATTTGCAGATGGTTTTTGAGCACTTGATTTAAGTATTTCATATTTATACTTTGAAAGTATAAAACCTACATGTAATTTTTATTTTTAAAAATCTAATTTCTAGTGATTGGAAGGCTGCTGGCTGTAATGCTTAAAATGCACATTTCTGAGGTAATATTTAAAAATTGGAGAAATTGCAATGTATTAGTACGTACATTTCTTTGTTTTGTGGGTAAGTGCCTACTATTTAAAAATGCATTAATCTTTAAGTATGTTTAAAAAAGCACCTAATTTTCAGAGATTATACTGTAAGAAATAGAGCAAATTAAGTGATAGGCGTATTTTTGTAACACCGCAACTAACTTTACTTGTCCACACTTGAAATGCTTGGCCAGTGTGTATATTTTTATATATATGTGCGTGTATATGTATATGTGTACATATGTATGTTGTGTGGAACTGGTCAATAGATTGCAGCTGATGTTATGTAGCTTCTGGATGCTTAAGCTATCCCTACTGACAATACTGTTTAGGAAGCTTGGTCTCCTATTCTTTCTTGTTCATTTGAAGCTGGGCAGCTTGGATACTGTTAGCAGTGTAGCCTCAAAATCACAGGGATTGGTGTGATCTAGTGTCCTTCCGATATGTTTTGAAGTCAACTCTTGAACTCCTTAATCTCACAGTTAATTTGTTAGTGGTGGCAGAGAGTATTAGTCTGAAGCTTTTATGAATATGTCTGCATGGGCTGCAGTCATGTAAGTGACTCTTTATTTATGAATTTCATGGGAATAGGTACAAGTCATGATAAGTATGGAAGCTCGGCAGTCTCCTGTCAAGGTTTTCTCTTCGAGTCAGTGTTTCAGCTTGCTGCTGGGACAGTACAAGAATAGAACTGTCCTCATCCAGGTCCTGAGTTAAACAGACTTTTCAAGGCACTCGTTTGGAACTTTGCACACCCCCGTCTATTCTTTTTTTAAGCCAGAAGAATACTGAAATAAAATAATAAAAAGCAAGAACAATATTGACAATTGTGACATAATTTCACTTGTTCTGCATTTCCCAGGAAATATGTGGGCTTGAGAAAGTTTTTAAAAAGGCATGTGTTCTAGAACTGGAGTACCATGCTATTGCCAAAAAAAAAAAATTTTACATTGAGTACTAAATATAGTCTTCTATGCACATGACAGTGTATAATGAAATAATATGAGGTGTTGAATGAATTTTGTGGTTTTTTTCAGTATTAGATTTTCTCCGTATTTCCCTATTGGTGAGACATGAGTGAGTTCCCAAACATCTGTCTGAGGATGATGACTTTGCCAGGGTTGTGGTTTCCTTGTCTGTGGAATGTGTGTTTGTATACAGAATATAGAAGGTTTGAATCCCACTACACCTATATTTTCACACTTTT